TGACCTCAAATTAATACACAATATTGGAAGGAAGAGGTGTTTTTTCTTACATAACTATCTAATTTTCTTACATAAGTATCCAAGTACAGATAAAAGCTGGTTAGCATAATGGTAAATACTGCCATCAAACACGGGTTGTCATTGCCACTTTCATTAATATTAAACTGTATTACTATAAAAGTGTTTGATGAAAACTTTTGAAAACTGGTAAGTTGCACAACTATTCAATCTATATCATATTTAAGAAATATGTACACCAGTTCTTAATATATGTCTTAATATTATTTTTTCAAGACAATTGCTGAATCTGGCCAAAACAACTCATAAGCAAAACTAATCAGAAGTCATGCTCATGTAAGATGCTCACTGACTGCTAAATTCAAATGCAAGGCACTGGGTGTTTTGTTGAATAGACAGAGGCAGAGAGCAGACTGCAAAGTCACCCAGAGGTAAGTGCCTTTGGTAGTGAAGTGCTGGTTATAAGAAGGCTTCTAGGAGTAAGCACAGAAACTGCCTCACTAGATGCCAGTGGTGTTCAGGAAATGCAATTCCATATGCATTCCATAGATGCATTTTTTGCAATTATAAAGGTTAGCATCAAAACCAAACCAAACACATGTATAAACGTTCTTTCATCATCTATTTCTGTTCTTAGCTGGGAATGTACCGGCAGAAGCGGTAACATTATTTCTACATCTTGTAGCTAGACATCAGGAAGGGGGGAAACACTTTCTCTGAAACATCGCCCAACCCACAGTCGCAGATCTTTCAGCAGCAATAAATGAAAACATTGCTGATGGAGCTGAGTAGTCCAAATACAGTCAAAATCCAAACTCTTCTTCAGTATCTTAGACCAAAAGTAGAAGAATTCCTAACAAAAGTCGTAAGAGTAATCCCAATTGCTCTAATTCTGAGATCATTTTAACAGCCAGCTCTGACAATCGTGTCAGTAAATGAATATGAGCTATCAAACCAAATGAGCTACAAGTTAAGAAAACAAAATGACTGTGCCATTAGGATTTCCTAATCATAAACAACAGATGTCCGTTTCAAAACACTCTGAAACTCAGCTGAAACCAACTTGCTACATCTCTTATTAGCTCTGTACAGAAATTTCAGAGCAGAAAAAGTGGCCCACAAGCAAGCCAGACAAGTGAGAACAACTGGCATCTTTAGAGAAGGACAGTGAAACTATTTCTGCATCTTGCTGTTTACTCTAAGGCTACTGAGGAGCAACAACCAGCCTAAAAGGCCTGATGCCAGGAGCTCTGAGTATTGCTGGCAGACCTGAAGGAGTTGCTATCAGCACAGAGCCCTCCACCACTTCTGTCAGCAAGCTTTACACCGAACTGGAATACACAGACAGTACGTATTAGACTCTAGCTAAAAAAATGTGACTTTAGCTAACAAAATGTGACTCCATAATGTACTTATTGAAATAAAATTAAAACATTATAAAATTGGTGTTATTATGATTACGTAATTAGATTGCCTACATAACTGTAGGGTTAATTTCTTTAGGATTCAGAGGTTCAGTTATACTACTTTAGTCCAGAGTAACATCTAATAATGTCTGTGTAAGAACTGCAATACAAAACTCACAGTTTCTTAAATTAAAAGTCACTTTTTAACTCCGAAAAGATTAAAAGATTAGTCACTTACACAAAACATCAGAAGTTACCCACATCCCACCACCTCACATATCACGTACATATCCCTTTCCCAAAAGAGATAAAGAAATAGAACCAAAATTCAGCATAAATAGATATAATCGATTCCCCAAACTGACACTGCATTGTAAATTATTTACAACATATAAATAGGTGCAACACTACTCCAGGTCCATTGAAAAAAATCAAAATGGCATCACACAAGAAAAATGGCACAGCATAGCTTTCTATTACCCACACTACGACTGAATGAATGAAATGCAAGAGGAGATGTGCCAAGTTACTTGATACTTGCTAGTCAGCTTAATCAGATACTCCCAGTTTCCTGCAGGATGGAAAACAAACACTGTTCTGCTACTTACTGCACACCACGTCTACTAACATATTTTCTGAGGCAGAACGATCCTAAAAACCTCTGAGCATCTAATAACACAAGTGTTCTGGAACTACACAATCTGCCATACTGTAAGAGAAGAAGATTTAAATAAAATAATATATTACAAGATATTGGACATGGGTATCTGAGATAAAGTAAATTATAAAATTATGATGACAGGTATTCCTGCTTCACTGAAAACCTATAATGTCAAATACTCATTTTGTGCTCCTAACTGCCATATGCCCTTATTTAAAAAACAAACAAAAAACCACCTCAAGTTCAGAAGACTATCAGAAATACCTTAAATACATACTTCAAAACTTGTTTCTCTGAAGTCTTAATAACAAAAAGCTATTATGTGTTTGGTATTTGGAATAAGAAAGTAAATTATTTTCTCAATTATAACATGCACTTCTCTGTGAGGAAAGGTTTAAAAAAAAAAGCAATAACAAGGCTATTGCCCTTAAGAACTACAATCTAACATAAATTCTACAATGCTTTAATGTTGCTGAAAATATTTTAGCCCTTTTTTTTTATTATTATTTTTTTTGTTTGGAGAGATACATGTAAAGAGGTACAATTTACTTCCACAGCAGGCTGACAGAAAAGATCATGTTGTATCTTATTAACATTAATAACGTGATATTATTTTTTAGCCTAACTATATTCAAACCTTAGCACTGATTACAATGATACTTGGTTATCATTTCAGATTCATCCAGTTGAAGTTTTCATCCACTGGATACTCATTTTTAGGAGAAACTGGAAAAACTTTCTCTTTAGTTTTTCTTTAAAGTCTATAAACTGAAGAAAACAATGGGGTGGAAGATGAATGTGAGAATCCATAGACACTAACGAAACTAAAGCAACTGTCCTCCAGGTTTACCATTTATTGAAGTTCTTTATCCCCTGGGCAAATTGGACTGAAAATAAAGAAAAACTACCAGTTTTTGTTTTCCCTATTTTTGTCTCCAAGAGTCATCCTCCCTTCCAAACAGCTGAACAGAAAAAGCAATCTGTTAGGTTCCTCTCCCAGAAAAAAAAAAAAAAAAAAAAAAAAAAAAAAAGGATAAACAGAAGCATTCTTGCATTCTTTCTTTCAAGAATATTTCCTTCCAATTTCTGGGAATTAAGACTTTATTGAGTAGTAGCTATCAACCGTTACATGACTTCCCCCATTTTCACTGCCCTCATTAATAATAATTTTTTAAAGAATTTGAATTAGTACTTAGGCTTACTAATAAAAGCAAGTAAAAATCCTCAACATTTTCAACCTCAACATCATGGTCAGAACCCTTCAAAAATATCAAATTCACAGAAATCATTTTCATTCACGGATTTTCCCCAAAGTAATATGATTTTAAAATAATGTCATTAATCTGTCTTCTTAAAATTTCTAGCTCTTTTCACTCCATTTTTTTGTCACTGATTTGCCTGCGTTTTCAGAAAAAATGTAAATCAGCTTACAATATACATTTATCTGATTGTACACTTAGTTCTACTTAGTTTCTTATTCCTGAAGTTTCTTATTCCTCTACTCTTCTGTATTCTCACATTTCCCTCAAATTCTTGTCCTGAAATAAATCTGTAAAAATTTTTAAAATGAATGATAACATAAAATAAAATAAAAAAGCTTTCTTGTTGACAAACTTTCAAAATAGTTTTACGAAAGACTCATATTTTGGTACTTAATTTTACCTGTTTGTCTTCCAAGGATGATCTTGAAAATACTAGGAAGACACTTATAAAAAATAGAGCTCTCTCTGTGTCAAATAATTTTATCTAGTCATTTTTCCTTCAATAACAATCAAAGAATTTTAGAAGAGACACTGATTACTTTGTACAACTTTGAAGAATTATGCAAGTATACTAATTGAGCATTTACAGTACCTAATATTTCCAAAAAAAAACTTAGATATTCTAAGTTTCTAGTTAGAGCCTAAGTGGTATTTCTTTAATCACTCTTGTCTCCCAGAGATCACTTTATTTTTTGCCTGGGTGTCTCTGATCCCCTCTCTTTCTTCTTCAATTTCTCTGCCAACAAACCTCACTTTGGTTTTCCCAGGACCCAGCTGAAGGGGAATTCTAAGGGCTTGGATGTATTTTTTCCAACACAACCAGGTGCCAGAATTCTTGCAACAGAGAATACCCAACCTGAAAACATGGGAATACAGTTAGTCCCCACATCATCACAAGAACATGCTGTACAGAAACGACAGTCCCATGACTCAGAGCACATCTCAACCACAAAGCTCTGAGAGGATTCTCTTTCTCTCCACTGTCCAAGGATGAGGAACTTGAAACTACATTCCTAAATGCATCTTACCATCTCCTCATCTCAATGAGGTCTTAAATTCATGCAGTTCCATTATGCCTTACTCTCTTGTACCCTCCTTTTGGTTTTTCATGCAATCTCTGCCCTTCATTCAATTGTCAGAAGAGCATGCTGCCTAGTTTCACCTCTACTATGAGTACCAGCCATTCTTTTGGTGCTCAAAGGCAAGATGTCAAATTCACTGAAAAAATATAATCATGAAAATACAGCATTTAAGGAAACTGTGACTCTCTCTTTTTTTCCATGCAAACAGCTAATTTCATTGAGGGAAGATTAGTAAGGTAAATACTTCCTGTCACGCCATGAAAGTTCTTTGTTTCCTTTGTTTTTATAAATCTTTATGTATAAACAGCAGAGTTTTCAGTATTAGAATCACAGTTTGAGAATAGGATATTCTCAATTAACTTTCTTCCTGGATACTTCCAGATTTCAGAAAAGAAAACTCCTGAGTCAGACTGATTCCCAAAAACTATCACAGATGAAAATGCCTAAAAATGGACATACTTATCTTTCTGTGGTGTCCTTTGATACACTGCTTAGTGTATCAGATCATTAATAGTATTTGGTCTGAGCTTCCTAATTAAAAACTCTAAGATGAAAGTAGTATCTTACTCACTTTGTGTCTCTGATGAGAGGAGCACTTCCCAGTTTAAAGCAGATTTTTTCCCCTCCACAAGACGTCTGTCTCAAAGAAAAGCTTTCTGCCAGATCAAACCCTGCAGAATACGATACACTGATTTAGTTTACATAACACAGTTTTTTTAAAAGCATGGGTAAACTTTTTAGCATGCTGGGTGACTTTCTAGAGGACAAAAAGTTTATTTTGAAAACCAGTACTTTAAGTTACAGAAACTGACAAAATTCATTTTACCAATGGATTTAGATAATTTACTCTTCGTATTAAAGAAAGCCATTTACCTGACAAACCAAGACTGTCTCTGTTGATTTGTTTGAGATGATGAACAGCTGTTTTTATTAAAGGACACACAGCACCTTCAAGAGAGCACAGGTTAATATTTCTCATAAAATTCTACCAAATGAAAATGAAACAGAACAAACCATCATGATAGGTATAGTCATAGCAGGAATCTTTCTTTTAGTTTCTCTATCTTTAGGATATAGAAAATATCAATAAACCAAATCACAAAACCAAAAATAAGAGCAATAATAATTAATTTTATACTAATTTTCCAATAACATAGGCAAATATAAATTTGATCATGTTTTAATTCAACACGAATGACAGAACCAGAAGTTCTTACTATGAACCACAGTTCATACTATGTTGTTTCCATCTACAATACCCTATAAAGTAGTCAGATCGGTTCTACGGTTGTTGTTTTTTTTTTTTTTTTTTTCTGATTATATTATTAGAAAAAATATTTTTGATTAAGAAGACATTACAATGAATCTGCAACAATATAGCATGAATGATTACTGTTGCAATAACCTATTATTAGCTCAGTGAACATTCATTTCAAAATGTGGATTAACAAGGATACAATCATATCATATAATAAACAATGCAAGCAATATTTATACTTTGAAAATTAAGCAGCTTTACAGGGGATTAAGTCTGAACCAAAGTCTTTAGGTAAACAAACATAATGTTCTAAAAACTGAAACATGGTAAATTCTAAGGCTATCTCTAGCCACATGCTTAGATCAAACAATGCATTATTACGCAGCATACAATTTGCATACTTTTTTAAATATGTACAGGAATACACACTTTTATGAAGCACATACAGACAAATATCCCTTTTGTGCATGGGTCAGAAATAGGGCTTTTTCTTTAAAAAAATAAAATAAAATAAAATAAAATAGCCCCACTAAACCTTAAGGAAACTGTCAAAAGGAAACCAGCACGCAGGATTTGGCCCCTGTGTGCCAAATCAGTGCAGAGCTCCTTGTTGATCTGATGTGACTAAGGAAATGGCCAAGATATGTCAAAAGATACTGAGCAGTGAAGGTCAAGGGGCTTTCCAAACTGTCAGTTCAATGAAAAAAGCAAGGAGAAGTGTCCTAGCATTAACCTGGAAATCATCTTTATTTAAAGGTTTCCAAGGGCATATAGACAGGGTTGACACTTAAAATAGCTATATTTGTGATTTTAAAACATATGAACTTTGTCATTCTTTCTGTAGTAATGCAGAGAGCACATTATCCTTCAAAGGTTTTTGATTCTATTAAATGCATTACAGTATTTTATCTGGACTACAAATGGCTAATCTGAAACTACCAGTAAAAATGAAGCTAAATTGTATAATACAGATATAAAGAACCTTCCTATCAACTCAGTTAATGAAAGGCATCTCAATTACAAGTAATACCACTTCTAAGTTGATTTATTTCGAAGGCACTGAGACAATTTATTCTTTCCTTCCTTCATATATAAAAACGTATATATATACATATATACGTATATATATACATGCATTTATGTATATAAATGCATGTATATATATACATGCTTATACATATATATGTATACACAAATAGATACAAAGTTTCATGAGAAATAAGAAACATATGCATTGAAAACAACTATAACTCCCATTATAAATTCCTTTTTCCCCCCAAAAAAAAACAAAAAACAACATGCTGAACTGTTAAGAATATTCATTCATTCTGAAATCTCTGAAACTGAAATCTTTCATCACTCTCAGTTTGTAGGGAGTGTGGAATTACATACTAACATAGCAATTTGAATACACCATTTACCATACCCATTAAAGGACAGAAAGAGGCTCACCTTAGATACTCTTTAATCTGCAGACCTGGGATTTCAATCATTTATAAAGATTATTAAACTATAGATTTGTATCTATACCCACTATAGAGCAACAAATTGGTTATAGTAGATTTACAGAGGCATAGCTACAAGAAATATCTCGGTGTAAAAAAAATAAATAAGAAAAGCCTCTTATGGCTGAAGGCACAATAGCTTGTCATGCATAGAGCAACAAACATCTTAATGTATTTCTTTTTTTAATTAACGCAAAGAATATGGACAGACTCATTTTTCCATTGAATTACTTTACAGTTCTTATAAAAAGAGCATCCAGATACAACCTGTTGTAGATTTTACCTTGAACTGCTATAGTAAGAGATATAGAACCAGAGATTAAAAGACAACCTGTTTTTTTTTTTTTTTTTTTTTTTTTTTTTTCCCAGCACTAACTTACAAGAGGGCTGAGCAACTAAGGACTGGGGCATATTAGCTTATTCCCTCCAGCCACTTTCTTCCAACTCCAAATAAAGAATCGAGCCTTAATTTCTGTGTTATCCAGATGATAGCAATGATTCCTCACATGCCACAGACTGGACTGTGGACCTATTTTTATCGGTGGCATAACAGTCACAGCATAGACAGGCTATGTAAATGTTACTTATTTGGTTGGTTTCCATTTCCCTTTGAAAACTGAAAGGGTTACTACAATTATTCTCCTATTTTATGCTGTTGGTTCACTCCTTTAGTCCAATATTATTTTATCAGAGAGCTAAGACAAAAGCATAAAATATTAAAAACCAAAAAGCTCTCCACATGAAGACTGATAACTTTAATTGCTATAGATTGATGAAAATTCTTTCTAGAGTTTATACAGTCAAAAAGTAAGTCTCTTCCAAGATTTTTAGTACTGCTGGCAGATCTTTAAATTCTCTTTGGCCTGAAACAAAGCTGCTCAACCCATGGATAGCTGAATTAGACGATCTACATGAAGACATTCATGAAAGGAAAAGTACACGACAAACCCTTATCCAGATGCAGAAACCACACACAGCAACCTTCCCTGTTATAATACATCACTATAAAACTAGAGAAGAAAAACCAACAAGCTTACAATAAAATAGGTTGCTCTACACGTGATAAAACTGAGTTTGTTTTGATTGAAGTCCACAATTCATATTAGAATGGTGATGTCAAAACTGAAGTTACCATACCTATAAATTAATGAGATCTCCTATTCATAGGATAGGATCCATTAATCTTTGGAAATCAATGAGCTGTACGTAGGTGGTTATTATTACAAATTCAACCTAATTACTTCAAAACACATATCGATGTGGATAAACCAGGTGTGTCACATATAACCATGATCTTCTGTCTCTCCACTGAGAATCTAGTAAGGAAAACTTATTTTTTAATAATAGAATTCTGTAAAAAAATATATTCTAAGTAGGGTGGTTGCATCTAGCCTTGCCTGCTGCAACATGCTAAATTGTGTCCTGAATTCTTACAATGGTCAGACCACTTGTTGAAGCATTCTGCAGCTTCCATCTAGGTCCCATGCTCAGTTTTCCTTTCCATGAAAACCCAGACCCATAAGACTCTGGTGCATGCTTCAGTCTCACTCTTACAGACATCTCTTGGGTGCACTTCCTGATTGGGAACTGTAGCTTCCAGTAAGCACTCTTGGCTTCTTTAGGACCTGGGTGAACTGAAACGACCAGATTCACTTCCCAAATACCTATCTGCTACTTTGTAATTAAAGCTCATGTTTAGGTGAAGTTTCAGTTGCTGTCTAACCCACTGATGTGCACATTATGAGGGTACCAAAGCTTCTATCAGAAAACACAACTGGATAAATTAATGTGGCCCAATAGCAAAAAAAAAAACAGCTGTTACATACACACGATATGTTGGTTTCAAGCTTCAGGCAGAATTCCAAATTATCGAGGACTTATCTCACATTCTAACTGGATCAGGCTTCAGGAAAATATAGGTAGAATGAACTTTTTCAGAGCGTGTGGCTGACTTGTTGGATATCATTGCTAACATTTGCAAGCCCACCTCACAGGTATTTATACTGAAGTTGAGAGTGCTGTACTCAAACACTCTGTTGGACTGCTTTCAAACAGGGTCAAGGAATTTGGTCCCTCACATATCCATAGCCTCAGGTACAGAGCTACCAGAAAATGAAATATGTTTTTTTTTTTCCTCTTTTTATACTGAAAGCCACTACATATTGCATTACAATATAGGTATTAATTAAGCCAAAGATAGAAAGAGGAATAAAGGAGACTGAATCTACAAATTTGTTGATATAGGAAAGAAATCAAGTCCAAGCCCAATGATTATTTAGACAGTTATGTAAACAATTAATTGCTTTGGTAGAGATTAAGAAATTCTTACCAAGTTCAAGTACTAGGAGTATGGTGTACCTGCCTCATGCTCACAGTAGACCTTGGAGAACTGGATTCTCCCATGAGGAACAGGTGGTAGGGGGAAAAACAGGACTTTATACTCAAAGTGGATATCTTGGCTACAGGATATTTTATTTTATTTTTATTTTTCAGGGAAAGGGAGGGAAAGAGAAAAAAAAAAAAAAAACACTCAACTGTAAGCTAATCTAGTCCACAAGCTTCACTCTGGGAGAACGTGTGTAATCTCTCTTATGTATTATTACTCACTAACTGAAGTGGCTCTCCACAGTGTGCAGGCTTTCATGAATCACATCCTTACAGACAGCCAAAGTTCCTTCTTCGCTGCCCAAGAAGGCTTACGTTTTACCTACATGTTAAGAAATCCAAGGGTGGAATAGTCATTTAAACACTGCAGTGCTGACAACAATTTGTGGATCCAACCTTAAACGTTCAGGGTTAGAGTTTAAACACTCCTAGTATTAAGACTATGAATGTATTTTATATGAGAGTGACTACAAAGCCTTTATCTTGATTTTGAGAATCATCTAGCTCTACTAAAGGATGAAAACTGAAAAGCTGAACTGATTTGCATGCTTGAAACCACTCACTGTATTTGGGTTAAAGTGCCTATCTGAGCTCATGATCTAGAGCCAATACTTTTCACAACTCATTCCATGTCAAAAGGCAATGGAAATTCACCATGACTGGCAGTCCCAAGACTTTATTTATGCTACATTTTTCATGGGTTAGCAAGTGACTTTGAAAAGGATTGATTGTTAAAGAAAGTTGAAAAAGCAACAATGATCTGGGAATGAGACAAGAGTATTAATATTCTTAACATGGAGCAGTTAGGAATGATCAGATTAGAACTTCATTTGTCACTAAAGAAGGAGCTCATGTCCATGCTCCAAAGCCAAATGCCCCTAACAATACAGCATAAATTTACAATGTGAAAATATTCTTGAAGTCAGATTAAAAACTAGATTGGGGAGAACTCCTGAATCCTCTCCATAAGATTTACTACATTCTATCACTAGAAGTAAGTGCTTCCTTCTGATGAACCATCAGAATACCAAAACTTCTTAACAAGTGAGAACTTAAAGAAACGCTTGATGTGAATCTAATGGTTATTGGCCTAAAGAGGAATGGTTCAAGAAAGCTCACTCTGATATTTTTTCTAATACCAGTATTTATTTAATTCAGTATTGACTTGATGAATAAATCCCAAAGCACATTCAGAATGCCAGCTCAGAAAGTTCTTTCCTATGCGTACATGCAAGTTAAACCTTTCTCTTGCACATGAGATTTCCTTCTGTATATATACTCCCCCCCCACCCCACTTTCAAATCAAGGTTAATTTACAGTTTTCCCTGCATTTGAAGCCCATTCTCAGTCAGAACTCACCTGACTCAAACAGATCAGGTGAGATTTTTTAGGATGCAAATGCAATATACCAATATCCTATCTAAATGAGTTTTGCTGGAAAAACGTTTGTATTAGCCCAGTGTGAAATAAATGCTACGCATATGTTGAAGGGAAGAACCTGGGCAGATCCTGAAGGACAGAAGCAGATCTATACAGAGCTGCTATTTGGGAGACAACAAAGGCCCAAGGAAGAGGCAGTTAATGAAAGAAATAAATGGAATGGGGGAGACCAGACCAGATACACTCTCTTCTTGAAATGTGCACACTTCCAATCTGTAACAGATTCATCTGCATACAAATTATCAAGCTACAGAACAAGACAATTTTGCAACACGGGATACTCAGTTCAGCGGGATGGGGCAGATTCAACAACAAGGTCTGCAAACTCACCCACACCACCTAGCACTTCACCCTTGCAGGGTCTGTTCTTTCTCAACTCTTGCTTTCTGGTCTACAGCTTGTATTTCTGTTTTGGATGCTAATCGCCCTCTAGGATGCAAACCATCTCTAGGAAAGTCTCTTTCCTGTTGTCACCTTAAAGCTTCACAAAGTCTATTCTGTGCTGTTGGCAGACCTGTACATGCTGGCAGCTATCTGCTTGTTATTCCTCACCATCTGCTCATATCACCTCATACTGCAGAAGCCTCTCAATTGTACACAGTCAGTTGTTCTCAGGAAAGGTTCAATCTCTCCTCTTCCTCCCAGGGGTTCCACTTGACCCATATATGATCAATTTGTAGCAATTAGGTTAGGGAACACTGCAACCTCCCTCCTGGCTGCCCAGACACAAACTTCTAAAGAAACATAAGGTACAGTTCAGATGTACCGTTCACTACCAGTTCAGGTTATCTGTCACAGTCTGTATGACAAGTGTACCTTTTCCTACATTTTTTTCCCCATCTAATTAAAAGTGAGAGAAAATGTTTCCTGGCATTTTGTTTTAATATTTTCTCAAGTTACACATTTTTCCATTTACATTATTAGGGAAGTTTGTGCACTCACACCCTTCTAGCCCTTTAAAAATTTTCCCTTCCATAATCCACTATGTTGAAATAACATAGAAAACAACCTATTTTGCTTCCTTTAGACAACCAAAGAGAATGATTGCACAGCTGTTATGTAAGGCTCACTCTCTAACAGAGGTTAAGAACAGTTCATCAGTGGAGCACTTAGCTTTGCTGCCCTAAAAATACAAGGCAAAAAAAGTATTTAACTTAAACTCAGATTCTTTACAACACATTACTCCTAACCCACACGTTACATTCATTATTTATTAAATATTACTTTTTTTTTTTTCTCCCTGGAGTAATAAAAGGATTATTATACTAGTAATTGACTTTTTAAATTTCTTGGGCCGGAGTTTCAAAGGTGTTATGGAGATTTAAAGTTGTCGTGTATGTACAGATTCTATTATCTTCTGTTATCTGGGCCTATTATCTTCTTATCATATTTCTGGAAAAACAGCACCACTAAAAATAAGTTTCATCTTCTAAAAAAGGAACAATCAGTAACTCTTTTTAACTCTAGCAACAAGTATGTTTTCCCTCCTGATAATTGGAGAACAACTCTAGAAAATTAAGGTACATGTTAGGGCTTACCAATTCTAGAAAACTGACAATTCCATATTTTATAAGCACACACAATGTGCCTTCAAGACAGAATTTACCACACTCGGGAGAGCCAAAGTCAAGTTTAAGTGCAACAGCTAGATAACATGCGGACAGCAAGAGAGAGAAGAAAACGGAGAAGTATGAGAGTAATTGCAGAAGATGAGTAACAGCTTTTACACTAAACAAATTCATTATATTCCCTTCCTCTGCCTGCTTAAGTGCAAGGTTCTGTCCTACTCTAGGCCTGTTAAACTTAAGACTTGGTTTGAAGATTAAGTTTAGGTTTAGGTTAGGCTAACGTGCATAGGTTGTTTAGGTTAATGTAATCACTGTTATAAAGCCACATGGTTTTGTTCACAGAAGTTTTGCAAGCCCTGATGCAGAACCTTAGTTTGCACAGTAAGTTGAAAAAGTACAAAATACAACTTCTAGAAACTACAACTACTTCTAAATGTGAATCTCCCAAGCACATGAAAGAGAAAGACTGCCTTGGAATTGATTCTAACTTAGACTTCTTCAAATAGAGGTTAAAAAAATGAAAAAAATCCTTTGTAATTTTGCCTGCTTGTACACTTTATTTTCTGTGTATTGTCATTATTTGTCTAAAGGTTGATTACTGAGATTTATGCTTTTGGTCTGTGATGGTCAAGAAAAATGGAAGTACCTGTCTGGTCACTGACAGCCACACAAGTAGAAACAGGGAGGAGGAGGAAGACTGCCATACAAAGCCAAACTATGCAGGATCCAGTGTACTTCATCTCCCCCTGGACACATGTGAACAATCAGCTACAAATCTGAAACAGAAAATAATCACATTCAGAACAATCTCTTCTTCAAGAATTTCTTAACTGTAAAGAAAAAGAGTAAATCACTTGTTAAATGTAGTGTATAATTTATCTATTTTAAGGAGATACAAAAATAGACGGAAGTAAATTTAGAAATAAATGACAAAAATATTCCTTTAATTCTCTACTACGGTCCTAAATAACGTCAGAAATATTAACTGAGACATATTAGCTGTGAAGGCGCTAATTATTTATTTCATTCGTGATGACCCATGTTACTTTTCTTCCAGTTTTCCAATCTTCACCATTCCAGGTTAACTGGTCAGTGTCACACTGCTGATGCGGTCATCAGACTGAACACGGACAACGCATGATACTTTTTAAGTACAAGCAAACAAAAATGTGACATTTCTCTTTATTGCAAAACACATTGCAAGCACTCGTACTGAGTTTAGATCTCACAGAAGTACAACCTGGCTTCAACTCTCGTCAGCACAATAATCAGCGTTCCTTCCAAGCCAACGGCGATTTAGAGAAACGTCAGAAACCAGCGAAGGACAGAAAACACTTTTCTAACCGCGTTTTCTCTCAGAGAAGCAAAGCACGCAGCGCAGATGCACTTTTAGCCGCTCTCGTCGCACGGCATCTCCCGCCGGCAGCTGCCCCCGGGGCAACTTTTCCAAGCGCCTCCCCGGCAGCGAGCGCCCCTCCGCAGGGCAGTCCCGCGGCGCGCCCTGCACCTGCCGCAGCAGCAGGTAGCTCGCCCCACCGCGGGCTGCGCCCCCCGGCAGGAGCAGACACAGCTCCTCGCCTCGGCTCCCCGCCGTTTCCGAGAGCCTTCAGGGGGACGCGGCGACCCCGCTCCGCCTCGGCACGGCTCCGCCGCCCCGCTCCCCGGCCCGGAACCTGCCTGCGCCGCTCGGCCCCGGCCGGTGGCTCCCTCACGGGGCGCCGGGAACCCGCTAGGGCGCCGCCGGAGAAGGTGGCGCCGCCCGCTCCCCTCCCTCCCTCTTCTCTCCCTCCCCGGGGCCGCACCTACCGCGGCCGAGGGAGCCCTCTGCCGCCCCGGCCCCGGCCCCAGCCCCGGCCCCGGCCCCGCCAGGTGTGCCAGCGGCTGCCACTCGCCCCGTCCCGCGGTGGCCGAGCCTGGAAGCCGCCCCCCATCCCGGGCACCCTCCCCTGGTGCCGGGCCCCCGTTAGAGCCCGCGCGGTGTCGGCCGCTCCCGCTGAGGGGAGCGATGGGCGCTGACACTTGTAAGGGCAGCGAGGTGCCCGCGGTGAATAAAGGTGACCTGTGTTGTGCCACGTTATGTCAGTTTGGCGGCCGCCTGTGTAAATTACTACGAGTTTACTAGGACCGCTTGTGTCAGCGTACCGTCGCATGTACCTGTGGTCACCCCCAAGCACGCCCTACGCACCTACACAGCCACCAGCAGGCTCCTATTGCACAGGCTGATTACAGCACATCAAAACCCTATCGTCTATATTCTACTTACATACTTAAATACAGACAAAATCAGTACTAAACTTAGCCAGCACTTCTAAAAAACACAGGAACACTGAAGTACGCACGTGTACCTGAGGTGCTTGGGCAATTCCCTGCAAATAACGAGTGGCTTACCTTTAATTTTTATTCTAGTTTGTCCCCCCGAAGCACCGAGAACGCCTGTGCAGAGCTGCCGTGGTGCCGAGGAGTTGCTGGAGTGAGTCTCCAAAGAGTGGTGGAGGGGGATGCAGCTCTGTCCTTATTAGTCTCACACAGCGTGACCCTCCCACTCAGCACAGAATACACCGCAAGGAAGGACAAACAACCACCCAGACACACACTTTACATAATCATACTTCCACATCCAAAGTGCAATAACAGCGTAAGAAATGCTTTCTTTCTACCCCCTCCCAGCTCCATAAATTAATTTGCCAGTGTATGAGTGCGTGAATGAAAAGGTGTCTGGCTCCGAGTTGTAAAGGACTGATTATGTACATTAGCACACTGGCAGAAACTGGCTTTTATCACTTAAGTGTAAGCACACATCATTAATTTTATATACTTTATCATAAATTTAAAAATCAGCCATCCAAGTAACCAAGAGAGTGTGCCTATTTATGGCACTGATGCAGCAAAATGCAGCAGATTACTGGCATTTGTTTTGCCTTTTAAAATCTATCATTTACACATCAGAATGTTCTTGCACTGTAATATCATCTGTCTACGATAAAATGGTGACATTGAACACTGACACTGACTCTCATTTGAATATGCTAAACTGCACTTTTCTTAGGATCTCTAAGTGTGCTTGTGGCAGTTTTCTGTATTGCATTTTACAGATGTAAACCAGAAGGACGGAGAGAAATAAAATGACGAGAAATACATACACAGAACACAGATTTAGTGCTTATTTAAACATATTTCATTTATATATATTCAAGACATATTTCATCTTCTACTAGTGGAATCATTCTGACAGGGGAAAAAAAAAAAAGAGAGAAAGGTGATGACTGTTACATGAAAAATAGCTTAACATCAATTTAGCTCAACTGGTCTTGAGGTCAGAAAGCTCTAAAAGTTAGTTTTCTGTTTTTCCTCCCAACAGATTTTGACTAGTGCTTCAAACAAGACAACTAGCCAGGATAACAAATCATGTGGAAAGATATGATTATCTTTTTGGTTTAAATTTCAAAACAGTTGTTGTTCTTCCCAATTTAGTATCACAAGAAAAAGATGAAATTGCAGTTTATGTATGTCTGGTAGGGTGTTTTAATCCACAACTTTGCCACAAACTTGTACTGTAACTTTGTGCAAGTTACACTTTTCACTTGCTTGCACTGTAAATTACAGAAAGTAAAGCTTCCCTACCTCACAGGGTGAGGCTCAAGATCCCAATCCTACAACTGACAAATTATCTGAGCACTTCCTTTGCCTTGAGACTGTTCATTTGATAAAGGCTAATTCAATGTTTCAAAAAGAGCTTCGAGGTCCTCAGTTGAAAGACCCTTTGTAAAAGCTCTGATCCTACTGAAAGGCATTACCATTTTTTTATTTGAGAACTGCATTTCTCATTGCTCTTTCAAGTATAAAATTCTTATGATCCTTTTGTTTTACTTCATCTTAGATGCCCTTAAATATATGGATTCAGTTGTTACATGGATATACACAGCCTTATTAATTTCAGTTCAGAATTTACTTTCTGAATTAGGTAAACCTTCTAATTGCATAAAACTTTGCACATACAATCCCTTCATCCTTTAAGGAAATATTTCTGCCCCTCAAAGCTTCTGTAGTGCTCATGAGTCCAGATCCAAACTTGGTTTTCATTTTCTATGAGGTAATAAAGAAACATAACCCTTAAACCAAAGATGTTGTTCCACTTACTGAGCTAGCTTCAGTCCAAATAGGAAAATTAAAAATACCTTATTTGGACCATGTCAACTTCAAAACACTCCACATCACTATGAAAGCATAAGAAGAAGAATTAGAACCTCCTGCAATGTTCCCTGGCTAATACAGACACTTCCTGTACTCTGGCCCCGATCTTCAGCTAAATGGGATTAAGCCAGTTCATGTAAGTCAAAAGAATTATGCTGATTTATACCAGTTGAGGACTTGGACGTTAGAGACTGTAACTGCATGTATTTATGGAGAACACTGCTCATATTGATAAAAACAGCCTTGAATAGCTAGTGACATAAAAATTGGGAACAAGAAAAATCTTATTGTTTACAAACTTCTGTCAGGAGCCAAAACAAGCTTCTCGCCTGCAGTACGAGAAGCAAGACCACAACCTGCAAAGCTTTTTGGTTACTATGAGCAGTTTAAAAGTGTGAACCACTTGCACTCAAGTTCACCTGCAAACAATTATTAGCGTGCTACACAGAAAACCTTTTCTATATGCAGTTCTCTGCTTTGTTTTCAGTAAGTATGGGAAAAAAATAATGATAAGGTATGATCTGAAATCCAGCAGCAAACGGATGGCATATTATGTTACCTTTGTAGCAATACAGTTTTCCAGCCATCTCAGAACTTAGCTAAAACTCTCACTTGCAAACAGAAGACAGGATTAGACCTGGATCCAGGCAAGAGCCAAGGCAAATATGCAAAGAAAGAGAGAGAGAGAAACTAAGTTTGACACCATACTTAGCGCAGACTTGTAGAACACGTCCCATCTCCTGTGCCAAGGGTGAACTACTCCACTGAACAGCTTTTACCACAGCTGCAGTTTCAGGCAAGATACAGGGGGAAAAGGTGAGAGAATTGTAGGGTAGAGGGATGCAGGGACAGACTTATTTATTCTAAAATTTGTTTCTCTACTGCTGAGAGTCACTTTTAGCCTCTGTTTCTTTTGCAGTGCTATGATATCCAAAACAGTCAAGTAACATAATTCACTCTTGTCTGGTGCTAACAGATTTGTCTCCATCTTGTTAGACCCACATTTTTAACTTGTGTTGCTTATGACAACACATGCAGGAATGAATCTGCAAGTTTTGACAAAACTCTTTAAAAGTGGCAGTATTCTACGCAGAAAGTTTTCTAAAAATAGGTTAATTTGAAACTCCCCCTTACCACACCGTTTCTCATTGTATATAGAGCACAGTATTTCTGGTTTGTTTTTTAAACCTTTAAGTGGGATTGTTCCTTGCCAGATGAACCTTCCTGCCCTTTGCAAGACTTGCTAGTCGTGACAATTGCACTGAAATAATTAAAATGCAAATGCTTTAAAATAGGTTAGACTGAACTATGAGGGAAAAAGAAGACCAGTGGAATCCTGGCCTTAAGAAATTTCATAGAAATTTTAATATTGATGTAAGTGGAGTAAGTAACTCAAAAAAAAAAAAAAATAAAAGGTAACTCAAGTGAGGGAACTTTGGTATAAACTACATCACAAGGAAATTATTTGTATGTACATGCACACACACTAAACACTCCTAGGTAGCAAAACAAATAGAAAAGCTGAATATCACTTCACTACTTCTATAGGAGAAGGAAGGAGCAAAAAACAACTGATACTTCTTTTTCTGAATTCTTATAAAGCACTCAGATTTTCAGTAAAGGGTCCAAAATAACTGTCAGAGAAATGCAGAGCATACTCACTGGTATATCTTTGAACTATTGGTTGCCTCGGATCCATAGATCAAACTTTATTTGCTGCTCTTCAACACTTGATTTCATAAAATAATCAAATATTAATAGCTATAATGATGCAGCTACAACAACAAAACCAAAAAATCTTTCCTTTTCCTCCAGCTCCAATGCTGCTGGTAATCCCAATCTCATAAGAAAAAAAAAAAAAAAGAAGTTCTGCTGTGTGCAGTATTTAGTGCTATCTGATCTTAATATGTGTCATAGCTTTAATAATGAACACTTTAAGCTAAAACATATATATTTCAAATTAAATATAACTCTTAATATATTGCTTATATTTAATAGTTGCAAACATGTCTAAACTGTATCACATGACGTTTTAAGTATTCATGACTATTCCAGAAACAAATACATTTCTATGCATATACCATTCCTTAAAGTGTTAGTTCACAACTTCAGTGAAAAGTTATTCCAACCTGAAATAGTGTTGGATTTGTAGAATTCAGTATGACATCACTTCAGTCTAAATTGGCTAAGAGAAACAATGCTAAGAATAGTAGTGCCAAAATATTTAGGCCCTTAATTTATTAAAAGGCATACTTCACTTCATCTTCTTATGGATAGATAAATGCATGTTTATAACCACACTGCCATGATACAAACAGCTTGTCATGTGTTCTGTTGCTTCATGAACCACACAAAGAAATACACACACACACAAAAGAAAAACTAAAATAAAATAACACTGATAACATGAATATTTATATTATTATTTTGTTGTTGTTTTCTTTGTTTCACATCAAATCCACTCTACCTGTAGCAGAGGA